TTATAAAAATGGATACATACTTTTTCATTTTGATATAAAAATCCATGATCGCCAGTATTGTGCTCGACGAAATGAACAAAAATATTACACATGTCTACCGAGCTTGCTGGATACTATAAATATTCATGGTGATTACCGGATCGAAAAATATTCAGGGTATATCATATTATTATTATTATTATTTAAAACAAAAACCTATATCAATAACAATTATTTTTACAGGTATGATTCTTTTATACAAGACGTTCGGCAAAATGTATGTGTTAAATGCGGTGAACGAACTACATTTTGGAGAGATGTCGACCTCAAAACGTTTAAAAATCTCGATCCGATTACGGATGAAAAAGAAATACAGTCAGTTGTATATGATTTTATGGCTTTTTTCTGACTGAAGGTGTTAGAAAATCTCTTACAATATAATATGTAAAAACTTAAATTATAAAGAATAAAAATGCATTTCAATTGTTTAAATAAAAAAAATATAGATTTATTATTTTCAAATTGAGTACAGTTATTTTTTTATTAATTTAAAAACATACTATAGTAGTCTCTTAACACTATATTATTATTTATTTATATTCAAAGTATACTAAAACAAAAAAAACAAAAAATAGATTAATGATGTACGTTTTACAGGACGACTGTAAATCTCGGAATCATAATAATTTTAGTTTTTTTTATGCAAGAACTTATTTTTAAAAAAAAAATGAATAAGATATATTTATCATTTATTAAGTAAGAAATACATTTTAGGACTCGAAGTCTATGATAAAAGATTTATTTTGTCTACGACCTCTATATACTAAAAATACTGACTCGTTGTTTTTCCCGAAATCATCACATTCTTGTTCAGAAAGTTGGATTGACTGTGGAAGAAAAACTCCAAGCAACTCATCATCTTTTGATAGAATCATTCGTACGGTTGGCCCATAAGTGGTTTTTAATAATCGCACCTTCTCTATTTGATATCTCGCATTGATAACCAGTTCAGCTATGCTGACCGATTTTGCGCTGGACTTCTCAGCCTCGGCGGCTTTCATCTTCAACAAACTGGCAAAGCTGGTCATACTAAAAAACAAAAAAATTATAAATATTTTTTTATTTCATTAAAAAACATCTATATTAAACAGTAAAAAGATTATTACCTTATGTTTTTTTTGAACGAAGTAAAAAGCTGAGGTCGTCTATTCATTCAGAGCTTGTAAAACGTATTAAACAGTTTAAATGGTAAGTAGTTTGATATTCTAAAAGAAAAGATAAAATCCCCCCCCTCTCATTTTTAAGTAACTGCACTGAGCGGTCAAGGCTAAAGTAAGAAATTAATGCGTTATATAAAATATATCTTATAGTTGGGGCTTGAAGATAGAGGAGAAAATCATAATAAAAAAAATATCAATGATACTTATCCATAATACGTAATTATTATGCTTCTTCGTATCCTACACCACACGTGTGTTATAATGTGAACAACTTTTACCAAAATCTTTAGGTTTGTAAGAGGTCAAGGCTAAATTCTATGTTTGGTCTATACAGGTATAGTATCCAAATCGGTTAACAGACTTTCTCGATAAAAATTCCGTAATTATTATGCTTCTTCGTATCCTACACCACACGTGTGTTATAATGTGAACAACTTTTACCAAAATCTTTAGGTTTGTAAGAGGTCAAGGCTAAATTCTATGTTTGGTCTATACAGGTATAGTATCCAAATCGGTTAACACACTTTCTCGATAAAAATGTTGTTTTCCGATAATTTATTTGGAAGCAGGGGTATTTCAAACATGACCAAAGGAGCTAAGAAGAAATTCTTTAGCTCGTGTTATTTAGTGTATAGTAAAGTGTTGTAAGTAACAAAACGTGTAGTTTGTAGTGTGTTATTCAGTAGTGTTAAAATTTCAGTATTTTAAAATGACCGGTTTGATTAATAAAAATAATATAACTTATAAAAACGGAAATATACTGCATTACGACCGCCACAAGAATTAGTCGATTGCACAGTGTTCCATATTGATTATAGAAGTAAAAAGTCTATTCAAATCGGTTTGGATCCGAATGAAACATTTAATGTTAAAATTCATATTTTAACTTCTACAAGTTATGTAACAATTGGTATCATATTATTTAACAGATTTATATCTATCATGAGTACAATTTTGTCCAATTTGTCGAATGAGAAGGATCCTATGGAAAACCATAGCAAAAATACTCCACTTTTAAAAGATCAATTCTTCATTATCTCAAAACTGGTTTCACGTGGACAACAATTATTAGTCATACAATCAAAAAATGAAATAAAGTGTAAAATTATACTTTGTCGGGAAGAATTATTGAAAATTCAAGACCTTCAGCACGTTGTAAAGGCAGCACATTATCATAAATCTAATTTAACTCGTCTCCTCGTGTTAGAACAGTTGGAAATATTTGTATAGTATTTAGACACACAGTGGAGGGAAAAAATGAGTTTTCACAGCGATGAAATGATATCATACATACAAACAACTGATCAAAATACCATTTTTATATTATCATAATATTTTAACCAAATAGTCGTTGTATTAATACCAAGTATTATTATTATTGACAGGTTCACAAACGGAAAGATAAAATTAATTCATCTCTAGAAACCGTGTCAGGTGTAGATTGCAATTGTAAATTATGTATTTTTACTAATATTAATAACGTATGTGACGACATTGTAGATAACGGAAAGTATTATGTATTTAAATAATTAAAATATTTATTAATAAGATATTTAAAAAATATATATATATCTAGTTATTATATTAAAAGACAAAACTAATATTATGTAAACTATATACTACTATAATTGTATACAAAAATAAAACAAAATATTGTTGTTTTACTCAGAGACAAAATAATTTATTCCTTAAGAAATTATTCAAACAACTATTTTCCCCCTCTCATCTTGTTATAATTATATGAAAGGACCAACTTTCTAAAAAAAAAAAAAAGAAATCTAGTGCCCCGTGTACATCAATTTTCTATATGGTTTAGCCAGTCGTGTGCTAGTCAGTGTTGCGCTTATACGCTCTTATGTATCTCATCCGTTTTTAATTGTTTTTTTTGAAAAAAATTATACTATTTTGTTATTTTTATTAATATTAACTGTAATATTTAAAATTCATCATGTTTTCGTGTACACAATGTGGTAAATCTTTTGCAAACAAGTCTAATTTAAACAGACATGGTTTAAAACACGTTAACATAACATTTCCTTGCTACGCTTGTAATAGAATTTTCAGTCAGAAATCAAATTTGCTGCGTCATGTGAGAACTGTACATCGTAAGTAAAGCAATTAAATATATTACATTTATTTAAAACAGTAATTATTTAAAAAAAAAATAGACTATAGAATCGAAAAACGTAAAAAAACAATTTATATTATTATTTATTATAGACCTTGTTAAAAATGGAATTGATTTTACTGATGCTATTACCGGATTAGAACAAGTGTATAATAGTGAGTAGAAATAAAAAATAAAATTAAAAAAAAAAAAAAAACATAATATTCCGCTATATTACTTTTTTATAAAAAGTTAACATAATAATTTATAAGGTTGTATGTACTCTTGTATTTATGTTCATATATTTTAAGTAGATTCTACTCAGTGTCAAGAACAACAACAACCGAGTGTGATAAAATATATTTCTTCAAATGGTTCGACTAGTAGCCCTCTTTTTACATCGCAACAAATTAATGAACCATCGAGTAGCAGCTCTTTTTTCACACCGCGACAAATTGATGACCCACACAGCGGTTAGACTTGTTTTTATTACTATAGATATATTTATATAAATATATAAATATATATATATATTCAACAGGTATAGGTTGTACAGCGGATAATCCACCAATACAGTCGGTTAAAAAAATAAGGTCTACTAATGACGACGGGGGATTGTTAGATAATTCCACTGAGAGCGGTTGTTATAATGAAAATACAGTTGGAAATAAACGGAAAAAAGCATCTCGTTTGTCAGCCGCAACCGCTGCGGGTCAAGATAATTTTATTCATATTGAATCAACGTTTAAAGGAAAAATTAAATGGTTTTATAAAAAAAATATGAACCATACGGTTGATTATACCGAATTTTTATGTAACTCGAAGCCGCAAATAACAAATATTCTAAATTCAATGGTTTCGATTCGCCCAATTAAATATAATTTAAAACTAGAAACGACTTACAGTATACCACAACAAGATAACACTTCTGAAAATCGTGCTTTTAAAACATCTGCTAGAGAGCTTTATTTAGCGAGTGACTCGAACACTGCAGTTCTCGATGATTTTAAAAAGCTCCTTGAAGAGGAAGATGAGTATACTAGCAAGGGCTCTGGGTATTTGCTTGAAACTATAGATGGACTTCTTTTGGGTGTGTACGATTTTACTCCGCTGAGAGCATCATCTCACATATATCTACCATCAGATATCGAGAGAAAAAAGGCTGTACTAAACCCTATAAACAAAACGGACAACGAATGTTTTAAATGGGCTATTTTAGCGAGACATGTGTCTTCGGGGAAAAAAAATCACGTAGGAGAAAACTATAGAAAAATGGAAAACAGAATATATAATTTTAATAGAATCATTTACCCAACACCACTTAAAAGTATCAAAACCTTCGAGTCTGATAATCCAACGGTTTCCGTAAACGTCTATGGGTTGGAAAAACAGCCGGGGCACACGAAATTCAAACTGGCACACTATATTTATCCACTTCGTGTATCAGAAACGGAAAACCCTAACCATTATGATTTACTGCTCGTAGAAGATGAGACTTCTGGTCTGAGTCACTATACATACATTACAAATTTTGCAAGACTAATCCATAGTCAAAAAATCACAGCAATATGGTTTTTTGTAAAAAATGTTTTACTGGGTTCGATATTCGCCCAAAACTAAATAAACTATCGGGTCAAGAGGCGCTTGACCAACATGCTAAAATTTGCAATACTCATAAAACTATTTTACCGGTAATGCCCGAAGCAGGCTCAGTTTTAAAATTTGATGCGTTGGGCAAAACAGTTAGACATCCGTTTGTGATATATGCCGATTTCGAAGCACTTTTAATAAAACCAGATATTTCAGACAACAAAGGTGGAAATACTAATATTGTTGAGGATCATAAACTAATGTCATATGGATTTTTTGTAAAGGCTGCAGACAATATACCCATAGACATTTTAAAACAGTATAACATCCCTCTAACGCCCATATGGTTTCGTGGATCACAAACAATCAATTCTGAAGAAGTAGCAAAACGCTTCGTGGAGGCAATTGTCGAAGTAGCTACAAACATAAGTGGTCTACTTCAGACGAATACACCAATAAAATTTACCGATACTGAAGCTCAGAGGCATGCAGTCGCTACATGCTGTGAAATTTGTCATTGTAGTTTTACACAGTCCAATAAAAAAGTAGCTGATCATGACCATTTATGTGGAAAATTCAGACTAACACTTTGTAACTCATGCAATCTAAAGCTTCGTACCCCAAATTTTTTACCGGTTTTTTTTCATAACTTAAGCTCTTATGACGCGCATTTTATCGTTACACAACTGGGGTATGATGATAAACCTATCAATATAATACCGACCAGCGAAGAAAAATATATAGCCTTCACAAAGTATATAAAAAATAATTTTTCGATTAGATTTCTCGATAGCTGTCGTTTTACACCAAGTTGCCTGTCTGCATTGACCACAGATCTTGCCAAAGCCGGTCTTTCTAATTTCCGAGAGACAGCCAAAGTGTTTTGCCCCGAAGACATGCCATTAGTGACCAAAAAAGGAGTTTTTCCCTATTCTTTCGTCGACGACTGGTCAAAACTTGAGGTCACCAGTTTGCCAGCACGTGAACAGTTCTTTAATTCACTCACAGGTAAACATATTAGCATAAAAGATTACGAACATGCATTACAAGTTTGGAATCATTTTAAATGTAAAACCTTGGGGGAGTACAGTGATATTTACATGAAAGTCGACATAATGGCTCTTACCGATGTATTTGAACAATTTCGTAATTTATGTATGGACACGTACAACTTGGATGCAGTATTCTACTTTACGAGCCCCGGATTAAGTTTCGACGCTATGTTAAAACATAGCATGGTGCATTTGGATCTTTTAAATGACTATGAAATGGTACTGCTAATTGAAAATGGAATCCGCGGTGGCCTCATACAGGCCTGTACACGTTGGGCTAAAGCTAATAATCCTAAGACACCTGGTTATAATCCTGACAAGCCGAACACATGGTTAGTTTACCAAGACGCCACAAATTTATATGGTTATGCAATGAGCCGTTATATGCCATCTGGAAGCTTTCAGTGGTACACCGGAAGCGGGGAGGAAGCACTGAAGGGTTTGGACTCTATGACGGAACAGTCTGAAACAGGTATGATTTTCGAAGTTGATATAGCTTATCCATCAACTCTACATGATGAACATAACGAATATCCATTCCTTCCTGAGCTTAAATGTCCTCCAAATTCAAAAACGAAAAAACTGTTGGCCACACTTGAGGATAAAAAAAAATACGTAATTCACTATATGAATTTAAAACAAGCGATTGCGAATGGCTTAAAGGTTGAGAAGGTAAACATATATTTCAAAATATTGCTATAATAATAATAAATTAATAAAGTAAATTTTGAATAACGTAGGTGCATAGAGTTTTACAATTTCATCAATCCCCTTGGCTCGCTTCTTATATAGATCTTAACACTCAAAAACGTAAATGTGCAACTAATGATTTTGAAAAAAACTTTTTCAAGTTGATGAACAACGCTGTATTTGGTAACAATATACCTTTTTTTTTTTTTTTTTTTAAATTGATTAAATTAATTACTCAACCTTATATATTATAGGTAAAACGATGGAATCAATGCGGAAGCGTATTAAAATTGAACTTTAATAAACCCACCTTTAAGCACTGTACTACATACAGCGAGAATCTTGCTGCTGTTTCCTTGGAGAACAAAATAATACATTTTTGTAAGCCGATATACGTAGGTTTTGCAGTGCTGGAGCTAAGTAAAGTTTTAATGTACGAATATCATTACAATGTTATGCGAAAACACTTTAAAGATGTTATTGAATTCGTTTATGGTGATACAGGTACTTATTAAAAAAAAATATAAGAATTATAATAATAAATAGTTGTATTAAATTATAAATAAAATAACAAATTGTTTTTTACACAGACTCACTTATATATTTGATCAAAACACAAGATTTTTACGAGGATGTCAGAAAAACACCAGAACTTCTAAGTCGGTTGGATACATCAAATTTACCGATTGATCATCCGTGTTACTCGGTAGAACGTAAAAAAGTTCCAGGGACATTCACCGATGAATTAGCAGGTCTTACGATGCATGAAATAATTGCATTGCGATCGAAGTTGTATGGGTTTAGCAAAGAAAACGTCTATAAGTCTCTGGAAACAGAATGGAGTATTGAAGAAAAAATAAAAGCTAAAGGTATACATTATACATTTTTAAATATAAAAAAAAAAGTTTAATATTTAAATGGTATAAAATACATTATAAAATGTGTGAATCTTAATGGCCTAGTGGATTAAGGCGTCAGTTTTTCAAAGCAGGTAGATAAGTATGATAGTGTTTAGTTCTAATAATATAACTTAAGCGATTTTTAATAATATATGATTTAATCCAAATAATTCCTATGCTGATTGCTTTGATTTACTACAGTTGTTAAGGTTCACAACATTTTTTTTGTTTTACTCATTAAAAATAAAAATGTATTACCTTTTACTTTATTTTTATTTTTAATAGGTATAAGAGCTTATGTAACTAAAAAACATATGGTTCTTGATGACTTAAAAAGATGTCTTTTCGATGACGACAGTGAGGATGATATGGACATTTATGGTTTCAATAAAGCAGAAGCAAAACTGACTGCTCATAATTGTGCTCTTAAGACCCTAGAATATGCCAACTATGACTTAAATACATCAAGTAGTACTTCATATCGCTACGATTACACTCCATATAGAGAGAATATATCTATAAGGTCGTTCAAACATAAAATTTGTACCGTTAAAACAATGAAATTAGCACTAAACCGAAATGATGACAAGAGGATTGTGCTTTGTGACAGGATTCATACTTTAGCAATTGGTCATTATAAAATCAAGTAATTGAAATATAAAATATCGATAGTTCAAAATCTTATTCAAATTATTTTTATTTTAGTGAACTTCAAGAGGCAGGTAGATTATCAGAAAGCAACGACGCCGTTTTGTAAAAAAAAAATATTCCATTTATTTATTTATTTTGTTTGACATACATAAAATGATATTTTATTATATAAGTATAAATAAAATAATGTATATTACAGTGTAAACAGTTTTTCCTACAATATATATTTTTAATACTAGTCTTTAAAAAAATAAAAATTAAAAAAATATTATTTACACATTTTCCAAAAACCATTTTCTTAAAGTAAGAACTTTATAAAGTGTACATAGCTTGGGATTCAATTCTTTGTGGAAGAGACAGCAGGCAAATTCTTCATTAGGATAGAGTTCATCTATTGTTGGACAGCCCATTAATTCCATATTAATAATAGTTATGCCAGGTAAATATTCTAAAAGAAGATCTCTCTTTTGATCTCCTTTCACGTAAACTGTTCGAGCTTGTAATGAATTTAATATTCTTCCAATTTCCTCACATTCCACGTCACCATATGTGAGGCTCATTTTGTGGAAATGACGCTCTAACCATTTATTAACAGAACGAGACTTGGCACTTTGAAACATGGTTGTTGAGTATTTGAATATCCAGTGTTGGACTGCACAGCTCTCGGTATCGATAGCCGATAATTCCTTTATTAGATATTTTCCATCAGATCCTAGTACACACTGCATATCAAGTATCAAGCGACCCATTCTTGTATTATAAATTATGTTGTTATATTATATAAGCAAGCAACACAGAACACGACTTTTCATGATTAAATACAATATATTACTAACTCTTCTTATTCCTGAATCTTATCTACTAAATCGTCTGACCTGTCCTCAACGCTAATAGTTATTTCAGTTTTTAGTCTGTATTGATCATATACTAAAATAGGTGAATCAAATTTTATATTTGCTGCCATTAGTTGAATGTAAGATTCGATTTTTTGTACGGCAGTTCGAATATCAGTAATTGTATCACTACATTTTGTTATATCCGCTCGATGAGTACGGAAAAGAATATTGTGTACGTCTACCTCATTTTGAAGCATCTGCAATCCAACTTGGAGATTTCCGATTGATTTATTCTTTTTGCCTTCTAATGAACCACCAAACACGTCCATGGTTGTCGATATACTAATCACTATTTTATACTAATACACTGTGTTAATATTAAAATTATCCTAACTCATCGATGATTACCATCTTGACTATGTAAGAGCATCCAAAATATATTCCCGTCCGTTTGTATTATATCTTCTTTTCCACGACATCGGTCCGGTATTGTCCACGAAAAAGATATTCCAGTCGTCATCATCGTACGCAGTGAACAGCCGGGCAAACGGTGAATATTCTTTCAGTGGTTTAAAATTTACACCGTATGAATTTTCACACGTTGACAAGAAAATATCCTTTGTCATTTTAACTTTATGTAAAATATCGTTAAAATCGGTAGCTTTCATTGACACGTACCCGACTATTTTTTTAGAATATACAATTTCGCCCAGCATGTGGCTCGGCAACTGACATGGACGCCATGGCACGAGTGACAGATACGATTTTCTCGACGGCGCGTTCAAAGCTGTGCATACTTGTCTCTTATATTTTACCACTTCAAACATCGATTGACTGTCCGGTTCAACATCATCATCCAGGTCGGTCAAATACAAACCGTAACACGGCAATGTGGTCTTACTGACAAAACATTCAGCATCTTCAAACTTACACGCTTTGCACAAATGCGGTTGAACGTCCCGGTAAAAATAGATCAACGATTGGTAATTACCCATTCTAGTTCATCTGGTTGCGTCTGCGACATGCGATGTACTGACTCCAATTCGTATCGATCCAAACGATGTTCAAACATTCATATATATTTAATATTTAATTGGGTCCGGAGTCGTTGGAATAGGGTGTAGACATCGTCAGTCCACCGTGAGAGCGATACTGCATCATATTGGTCTAAATGATGACTGTTTGGAAATATAGTCGACAGACTTTCAACTAGTGAGAACATTATGTACTAATACATTATTTAATATATTTTATATAATGCGATTTTTAACTATATCGATTAATTTCATAATTGAAATTATTTTTCATTATGAATAATTAATTCATCATAGTTTGAGATCGTTTTTATCTACCCATGAGTTATGTGTTGAATCAAATCCTAACCATTTTACTAGAACTTTTGATCCTTTTTTTTGTAAGACCTTTTCCACCAGATAGTCATCAGGATATAGAGTTTTGCTTAATTCTTCATTGTAGAAACTACCTGCTATGGGTTTACCGGTATAGTCTTCTATGTAGTAAGTAGGAGGAGATGTAGGATTAGCTTTTACTACTTTGAAAATTTCACTACTCCAGCTAGGAAGATAACCCTTAGTAAAGATGGTTTTGTACATAGAAATTCTTACTCTGTCGCCAACTTTAAAGCGAAATTTCTGCTCAGGTATCTTACGACCATGTATTACAACCGAAGACGGGTTAGCCTCAGCCTGATTCGGTGTCATTCTAATAGTGCTATGTTTTGTATTATTATACGTATCTACGAGGCTATCCAAGATAGAAACCCATTCATATGAACCTTGAGCTGTAAATTGTTTGTACATTTTTGATTTAATTGTGCGATTAAATCTCTCAATTATACTAGCTTTGAGAGCGGAATATGTCGAGTATAAGTTAACATTGTATTTTTTCATCAAAGCCATGAAATGCTTATTATAGAACTCTTTCCCGGAATCAGTCATAAGGTGAGTTGTTGGGTGGGGGATGAGTACTTTCTCCATGGCTGCAGTGACTTCGACTCCAGTTTTTGTCTTCAGAGGAAAACACCAAGCTTTTTTCGTAAAACAGTCAATGACGGTAAGAATATATTTGAATTTCCGATTTTTCACTGAATGACTGGTCATTTCAACAATATCGGCTTGCAAAAGATCACCTTTCCCCTTCAAAATAACTCTCCGCCTAGTGAAATTTTTACGAGCTGGTCGATGCAGTTCTGAAGCAATACTTTCTTTAGTAGTAGTTATCGGTATCATCGTGTGGAATCGTTTTTATAATACCCTGCTCATAAAGTTCTTCATAAATAGAAACTATTTCATTATTGACCCCTGAGTTGCCTGCAGTTCTCGCTGCATGTAATAAACGTAATCTGGTAATTAATTCTTCAGGCTGATTCCAATATACGTAATTTGTTTTCTTATTATTCAGCGCCATGGAAAGACCACTGCCTGAGGGGAATATCTTTGAAATGATCTTATTATACTTGGAACCGGTTCTTTTAAGCCGACTACCATCTACAGTTAAGTGAGCTGATGATTGTTCTAGCATTTTTTTATAATTTCTCGTATCGATTTTTGTATACTTATTTGGGTTTTTAGAAAACAATAATTGTAGTATTCCCACGGTCATGGGATATGGTCTACCATCAAGTGAAATTTGTAATGAATTTCTATCGAATTCCATTTCAGAATGACCGAAATTTATTTTACCTTTATTATCAACCGGTTTGGGTCCATATATTTTATCTCTTTGTGGTGAAATTAACCAGTTATCTAATATCATACCAACGCTCACAGTATGATCCGTTTTTTTCGACGTTATGGCGGTTGATACTTCTTTCGATGCTTGTTGTGACTGAAATACAGGGTCATCAAACACCTGATCGCGATTTTCAAAACTTTGGTAGTCATCACCACCATTGTTCGTGTTTTTATTTGCTATTTTCGTCAGTGGATCAATAATTGGTTTAAAACTCTGTGTAACTAACGATTCTGTCTCTGCTTCACCTTGTTCCAGAGCTATATACTTTCTCTTAATACTTTCCTTGGCCTGCGTTAACGCTGATAACAAATTTTTGTTTTTTTCCGTCATGGTAACTGCAGTGCAAATGATAACTATAAATTGCGAGCATGGTCTTTTATATTAATGCAAATGTATCAAATTTGCTTCGATATCTTCCTTGATCTCTAATAAAATCCTTACATATCACTGCAAGTCCATATTTATCTCGATTCCAACATGCTCTACAAAAGTCTTTAAACTCGGAAAAAGTCATATCTGAACTACAGTGGTCGTCGTAAGCATGTTTTAAATTTAATTCATCCTGCTTGAAAAGTACAATTAGATTTGAATTATCACGAATTAAAAGCTTTGGAATTTTCGAATAACTTTGACCTAAATAGAAAACATCTATTTTATTGTGTCTCCCACGTGAGAAGTATTCACGGATAATATGTTGGTTTTGAGAAATTACGTCATCAAAAATAAAAATACTATTTTCCTTTGCTTTCTCCGGAACCATTATTGTTTCATTTTCATAAAACGTGTACAAGTTTACACCATCGACTTGACGAATAATTTGCTCGAGTAATTTATATTTTTCCTGACCCAAAGTCTTGGAATAAATGTATACGTTTTCGAATTTTAATCCATTGTCTGCAGTCAACAGTGTAAAGATCAATTGGGTTTTACCACAGGACGATGGCCCAGCTATTAGGGCGCGAATAGTGTTTGATAGAAGAGGACCGTGTTTTGATACCACACTATTGACGTCTATTGTATCTGCATTGACAATAGGGAGTTTATGATCTTGTTCAACAAATCGCATGGTATAAATATGACTGTCGATTGAAAGAAATGAACATATGATGTCTTCGTCTCAAAAGCTAAAGAGCAACAAAGGTTCGGGTCTTTTAAACTCTATTATAAATAGATTACCGGTAGAGTTGCATTATCCTGGTTATCAGTTTTGTGGACCCAGGACTCGTCTACGTCAAAGGCTGACCGCCGGTCAACGGGGTATCAATCGATTGGATAACGCTTGTAGAGAACACGATATTGCTTACGATAAAAGTGACGTGTTCAGTGATCGTCACGAGGCCGACAGAATATTACAGGAAAAGGCGTGGGCGATTTTCAAGTCGAAAGATACGGAGCTTAAAGAAAAGTTA